TGCAGGCTCGTAAGTTTCCCAGCCAGCAGGTTGCAACCATAAGCCCCTACCATGATAAGGTGAACTACATGGCACCAAGCCAGGCTCATTGTAAGCGTAGGCCAGTCGAGCGCTCCAGCCCGCCAGTCAAAATATTTCTTCGGGGGTCAGGGGCCGGGCGAGCAGTTGAAACAGTGCTCGGGCCGGCTGGTCCTGTAGGTGTACTGCGTTCTGCGAGCAGGTTGCAGCAGGCCTGTAGCGCCGACGACCGTCAGCCTTCCGATTGCGGCACTGCTGAGTCAGCAAGCCCAGGAAGCAAGATGTTTCTGACAGGCTCGTAAGTGTCTGAAGTGTCCGCCTGCAACCAAAGCTCTGTACCATGATAAGGTTTGCTGCGAGGTACCAATTTGCTCATTATATGCCAAGGCAAGTCGACTAGTCCAACACGCTGATTGAAAGATTTCTTCAGGTGAAAGTGGGGAGAGCACTGGAAAAAGTCCTCGGTCCACCCGCTCCGTCATACCTGTAATGGTAGTAGGACAGCATCAGCATGGAACGCAGTTTGGGCAGCTGGCGTAGATGGCAAAGGAGGTCTGGCAGGAGCGGCATCAGCATGGTGCGCAAGTTGAGCGTGAGGCCACGTAGCTGTAATGGACGAGAGGGAGGGAGGTCTGAGAATGGCCCAGTCTGCCGGGCGATCGCTGCATGGCTACATCAGAGAACCCAAACGCGGGCCAGCTTCCCGTAAACTGTGCGGGCAGCACATCCACCTGGCTCCTGTCATGTAGCTCAGTCGAGGGCTGGGGCCACTGCGTAAGACCCGACCCAGACGGCTGCGCGTCATCACCATCACCAGCTTCATGCGAAACACGCCGAGCAATAAAGGGGACTCGGGCGTAGACACTGAATCCAGAGTAGAGGGTGAATTGGGCTAGAGAAAACCTTTCTCTGGACATATGTGGAAGAACAGGTGCAGGCTGAATTAAAATAGGAACCTCTTGAGAAGTGGCTGGCCATGATTTTCAAACTACCGCGTGTGATTGACTAACCGTCAACAGAGCCAAATCTCAGGCTAGCCTCAGGCTGGATTGCACGCCGTGACGTAAGATGCGGAACACAATGCTACCTACTGCGTGAAAACTGCCCCAGACTAGAAAAGCCAAATGTCATGTGAGTAACCTGGAGGCTGGGTTGCGCGCTTGAATTCCTACCCCCCACGCAAAAATGAATCAGCGGAAATGAAGCCAGCAAGGCCCCCGGCCTTGCTGGCCGCATCTGCATCCGTGGCAGCCTAGCACAGCAAGCGCGGGTCTTTTTTAAGGGCTCTTTTCAAACTCCCGTGCGCGGTCGATCGAAAGTCCCAAGGACCGAGCTGCTGCCGAACTGGAAAAACAACCCCTATCACAGCTAGGCCCCCTCAGTAGCAGCAGCACGCAACATCAACTCTGAGGCGATGATCGTTTCCAGGATCTCTTCTCGACACAAGTCACGAATCTGTCCTTGGCCTAGTTGGCCAAAACACCACACCCTCCACAGCCCTTGTCCCTCTTCAGACTGAAAGAAATCCGCCAGCGTGCCATTGCAGACCATGAAGCTGATTTGGAGGCGGAAGCTAGGGCGGACGAAGAGAGATGGGAACAGCTGCGCGCTATGGGAAGACTGGCAAATGGAGCAGAACCTCGGAGTCAGCACAGCAGTTCGCACGCGCTTGAGGATTCAAGTTAGCACGCAGGGCAAGGACGTTGAACCAGCAGTTGAAGTTGACATGGCGGCTGGAGCTCAAGTGGGCGTTCTGCTTACGGCCCATAGTGAGGTGACGCTGCCAGCTGGCTCCGACGGCACGCATGTTCCCTCACGTTCAGCTTGTAACATTCGATCCGGTCTGGGTGGACTTGCCGGCGCCACCGTGCAGTGCCTGCTTCGGATCCCGTTGCCAAGGTGGAAGCCTGGGACGGGCCTCCCTCCCCACTGTCCTGTATTTCCACCACCCTAAAAGCGTACCATTGTCGTGCTGCGTAGCCGCAGCGTGACGCAGCATCACTTGCGGGTCTGAGGGCTTAGCTTGGGGACCATTACATCAGATACGTCAGGAGGTCAGCTCCTTTGTGTTTTTGGTCTGGGACTCCCAGAATCTGACCTGATTTGACCTGCATGCATGAAAGCTAAAATGCCCGAAGCGGAAAAATCCTTAGGGCTCTAGGAGGCCCTTAGGCTCCAGAGCCTCATCTCGCATTCGCGGCCTTTCTGGGGGTGGTGGAGTATGGTTGTGAAAATCCAGGTCGGGTTTGCCAGCCCCGGCATGTCGCGCGCCTGTGTTTTGTAGAGTCTCTCCCCTCCCCCCAAAGAAGAGGCAGAATGTTCAGAACCCCACCCATATTCTTGGAATAGCACAAGGGTCCTTACGGAACAAGCAGACCAGCTGTCTGATGACCACTGCATCCGAGAAGCTTCTTTGCAACACGCTTGGGCTTCGCAGCTGCCTCGCACTGGAAGTACTCAGAACCACCCCCCTGCTATTGAAAAAAGTTTGGTACCAAAGAGCCAAAGCTAATTGAAATCCAAGTGGCCAATTGAACTTGACGTTTACTCTGTTTGGCACTGCCTGCCTCGGACGCAAACTTGCATGTGGATTTGGAAGAAAACGAAGTTTGAGATCAGATGAGATCAGATCAGCTGAGTTGAGATCAGATCAGATCACATCAGAGCAGATCAGGTAAGGCCATGTCAACCTGATCCTGCCTGCTATTATCCAAGACACTGCTTGCCTCGGAGGAAAACTTGCATGCGACTTTGGAAGCAAATTAGACTTTCAGATCAGACCAGATCAGATGACATCACAACAGATGAGGTAAAGCTACGTCGTGATGGTAGGGCTATGTCGACGAAATGTTCCTGCCTGCTGTCATACGAAAGACTGACCTGAAATGAGTGGCTGTACATGCAAACACAAGCAGCAGCGCTACAAGGGCGGCCAGGAAACCTCCTTTTTCTCTTGCTGCAGCAGAATCTGCACTGTGGCATCGACTCCCTAACACAGGAGCCCCATGTTTCATCGAATTTCGCCCACATGGCTGCATGACTCCAAGGTCGTATGGAGAAGCGATTCTCATTCCACACCGAAAAAAGACAGAATTGGGGAGCTCCGGAAAGCAACAAGACTGTCACGCCTCAAGGAAGCCACGCATTTCCCACTGCCGGGTCTCCTGACGCCAGGATATCTGAAAACAAAAAGATCAAAGCACTAGGGCCATTAGGGGGCCGGTGAAATGAATACGCGCGCGTCCTTCTCTGTCGGCTCAGCCGCGGCGTTGGCTACGCTTGTAGCATCAGCCGACATGGCAGCACATACGAGGACGCGAGGCTTACTTCGCGAGGCTTAGGATGGCCGTATTGGGTTGGGTGCACAGTGCCCAGGTAATCAGCTTACATGGATTTAGATGCCCAATGCTGAATTTGATGAGGGCCTCCCAGGTGTCATGGTTTTGATGGCCTGGGAACCTTCTTTCAGTAGCCTGAAAACTGCGTTTTGATGACCCGGAAAGCTGCTTTGGTTGTCAGCAATTGCTTGGTGGCTGAGTGGGACTGCATCCCCACTATAACTTCCCCCTTGACGGCCGTATCCCTAGTTTTCCCCTGGCGTACCCCTAGCGTACCCTTCTCATCGCGCCTCCCCCCCTTTCAAACCCCGCCATACCCCGAGCGTACCCTCCTCATCGCGCCTCTCGCCTTTGAAACTTCGCTAGAACCGCCCCCTTGACGACCGTGTCGCTGGCGTACCCCTAGCGTACCCTCCTCATCACGCCCACCCCTTTGAACCTACACAAGAACCCAGCATCCGAGATGTTTTTGGGAACAAACCGGCGTAAGTTAAAATTGCAAATGGGCTGCAAGCAAAGGCAGCTGGCTAAGAAGTGCATAAGCAAACAAGAAGACTGGGCGGCAGCAACAGCAGCACTGCAACCACAAATGTCACAGCCAGTGACAGCAGCCACACCATCACATCGGCTTGCATCTTACAAGTCTTCAGTAGTTTCTTACTTCCCGGTACCCAGGGCCATGCCATCAACTGTTGGCGCTAGTGGCCAGGAGGCAATACCAAGACCCTAATGACAGAGTTGGCTCACGCTGCTGCAAGTGTATGGCAGGGCTGACGCGATGGTGGATGTAAGGATGGCGAGTGAGAGTTGGGGATTCCAAATGCCTGGTTGGTAGTATTTGGACCCTCTTGCGCAACTTATGCCTGCCCCTAGCAATAAATAATTCTGGGCTGTGGGAAACGTGGGAACATGTGGGGAGCTACTGAGCACACCGCTGCCGCCCAACGGTTTGAGGTGCAACAACTGCTTCGAAATGCTGCAACTACTTTCAGTCTGTCCACTTTCAATTCTTAGCATCAAAGGCGCTATCCCGGCACGCTTAGTCCTACGCTCATCAACTCTCCTACAGCTGAAGACAATCCAAAAGCAGTGTGGTGCAGGCGTGAACAAACATCTGCTAAGTTCATGCATGTGCAATGAGCCTGGCTGCGCTTCAGCTTGATGATGACCGCCAGCGGCTCGCAACAGCATATGTATCGGAGCAGCTTTGTGGTCCAATTGACGCGGCTGAGCTCAACATGCGACCGGCCGCAGCGCACGTGAACTCTGTTTAAAGAAAACACTGTTGGTGGCTTGTGGTAAGCAACATAGATGCGAAGGTCGTCTGACCCCAGTGTGAAAACACATCGCTTCCTGTTCCAGGAGCCCCACATCGAAGCGTGACATCCAGGAGTTCGCGCTTCTGCTATTCGCTGCAGGTCAGGCACGGCCGGCTTGCGATCAGTCAGTGCAGCTGCAGTTCTCTCGCTCCTCCAATTCGGACCTCTCTGAAAACCGCCGGGCAAGCCCTTAGGCTCAGACAAAGCACACATGCTTGATGGATCACAGTTTTGTACAGCGTTAAGCATGAACATGTTATTATAACTGCGGAGATGCCTTGGCCGGGCCCAATGTTAAACAGAAACTTTATACTTGTGAAACCTGCAGTTCCCCTCTAAGCTGCCGAGCCAACCCTGCGAGGCAAAAAGCAGTTCGACACCGCAGCTCACTTGCATATGCTGCATGCTGATATCACACAAGACAGTCCCCGCAGCTACCGAGCTCGCCGCCGAATGTCCAACGGTCCCTGCGGATTCGCAACTCAGCCGCTCCCCTCAGAAGCGGGCCGAAGGTGTCCTGACCATCTCCCTCTCTACCTCCCCAACGTACCAAAATCCAGCCGTAGCAGAAGCTGATAAAACATGCGGCTACGTCCATGGGCGAAACCAACCTTTTAACCGTCTTGTGGGTGACAGCCCAGCTGATCTCAACGACGAGGAGGAGGAGCAGCAGCATTTGAAAGGCCGACTCCATAAACACAATATTTTCATGAGCTCACCTGATGAACTACTGTTCTGGACAAGGTTGCCATGTCTCTGTGGCAGAGGTCCTTGAGCATGCCGGCCCCCGCTGTCCAGAAAGGAAGACTGAACAGTGCCTGGCATGATGTGCTACTGCCAACCGTATTCACTCCAAGCACTAATTTTCAGCCAGCGCGCACCATGAACGAGGCACCAGCGGAGATGACCCCCGCCGTCCAAACCGCGGTGAAGGATGTCCACGCAATTCCAAAAGTGCCTTGTTAACGACACAGCATGACTCACATCAGGCATGTCCATGTGAAGCCGTCTTGAGACACGAGCCAATAGGAATACGGGATTCCCATGTGACAGGGGGCAGCAGAACCTAGAAGGAAACATGAAGGGAAAAGAGAACCGAGATATCACCGGCACAAACAGGTGGGAGAGGCACCCTAAGCTCCTCCCCTTTTCTGTCCACATGGATTTTGGACCTCATGAGCATGCCATTGTTCAGGTAACAAAATGATGCAGCATGCTTTGGCCCCGACCCACGCGGAGGATCTAAACTTGCCTGCGGTTAGGATCCGGGCAGATCAACATGTCTTGCCAGCAAGACCGGCTTGCCCTACCTCCGGCTATCAGAATGACAGGGGGAGACGTTTTCCTATTAATTTTCCTATTCATCTTGTCTTCGGGCTGCACCCCAACTGGGCATCCAGACTGCTGCTTACTCAAGCTTGCTCGATGAACACGCATGCTGAAAAATCAGTGCCTCCCCCTCAAAAACTTTGAATAGCGTTTCACAATAATGTGGGCTCGTTGGAAACTGTACAAGAAATGGTTCATCGGCCAGAAGACCGTGAAGTGCATTGCGAAGCGTAGTGACATGCTTTCCGCTGCATTTCCTGCTGTGACTTTGCAAGCCATGCTCCAGCAGACCATGAGCAGCTACACCGAAGCAACTCTGGTATTGCCAAGCGCATTGCCAGATCTTAAGGCTGTTGCTAATTACATTCGATGAAAAACATTGCAGAGAACCTGCAAACCACCTGTTTGGAGGCCGACTGACCAAACTCTACAACTAGCCAGCCTTCTTCTTGGCCAGGGCTGCAGAAGGTTGCAGCTCTTTTTGCAAGACCTGCCGTTCACGGTCCGGTGTCTTTTGGTACGCTCTCATTATGCAACTGCACAAGCTGTTTCTCTCATGTCCACACCAATTGGTGGTTGGACACTTGCTACAACCAAGCATGGGACACATGCTAAATGTCTGAGCCTAGGAATTGCAAACGGCCTCCTGCAGTTGTCGAGGCTGCCTCACGAAGTCCAGGGCCTGCAACATAGATCCAACTACAGCATAATATCACAAAAGCAGTGGAATCAGGCTTGTGAAATGCCTCTGCCGCAGAGCTAAAGCGATCTTCCGGTGCTGGTTCCATCCTGAGGCTCAAATCTTTGGCTAACGAAACCTGTTGGCGACTCTGGGCTCTGGTGCACATGCGCAGGCCGGAGCGCTCAGGGAGCGACAGCCCCTCCAGAAGCTCCAGGAACCAACTCTCCTACGCACCAATTGCTGACTCTGACAAGAGGAGCATCACATGCAAGTGTTGGATTATGTACGCACTCCGCCAATGACATGCAGATGCCATCAAGAGCTTTGCAGCGCCTGTCTCTCCCAGACAGTGCCAACAAAAGATGTCCGAAAATCCACCTGCGGGGCGTCAGACAGCTACAACACGAAGAGTCCCGAGGTACAAACGGGGGGACTCTGCAACAGCACAGCAGCATCATCTACACTCTACACAGTCGAGGACTGTTTGCGGTCTCGTGCCTTAAGGCGCTTCTGTGGCAGCGCGCCTGGCCTCCAATGCTCTTGATGTCATAGCTTCTGTCAGAACTGTTAAATCCAACCGCTGACCATGAAATCGCGGTAGCACAAGATCTGATACTCAGAGAGAATACTCAGATCAAAAAATTGGACACATGTCTGCTGCAGTGAGCTCTCGGCTCGTAACCAGTTGCTGCGAACAACAATGTGGCGCCGACCCCTCAGAGCAATCTTCAACATTGACAGGAGATGGCAGCCGTATTCGTCTGCTTTGCAACTGTCTGAAAGGCTTGACCGAGAGTCGAACCATAGAGATCGGACCTGGTGCCACAGGGCTCCATTCTTCGGGTCCGAGGCTTGATGATTCGCAAGTGTGTTGACGGGTAGACCAGTCAGGCTCGCACTTGGGTGTGAAGATCCGACCGAAAGACTCGGGTGCCATGTATCCAAACGTGCCCTCAGCAGTCCTGCCAATCTCTGGATAAGCTCAAGCTGCAGGAGAACAACTTTTACAATTCCCACGAGTCCTGGTTCCCGATCCGAGAACAGCAGAGCCAAAGTCCACAAGGTAGACACGCCATCTACCAGGCTTTGCCAAACTTCTGGACACTCAGGTTTGAACGCTGCCCGCCTCGGCTTTCCACGTGTTTCTCCAGCAGCCTGAAGGGCTTCAGCTCTCATCATCTCTGCGTACCAAACCTGCAAAGGGCCCTGGAGAAAACCCATAGGCTGCTTTTTGTATCTGGATTTCCTGCGCAGATCTCTGCTCAGATGCGGCAGTTTCTGCAGCTGCCACCGGCTTGTGGATCAGAAATGGAAATGCAGCTAGTACCTGAGAGCTTCCACAAAACTTGGAAGGCACTCTCCCAGCGTCAGATCAGATCACACATCTTCTGAGCTGAGAGACATCGCAGGCTCCCTTGTCGAAGGCACGTACTGCGTCCTGCAGCGGCAGCTTTTGGCTTGTTTGATGTCCAATGACATCCTGCGATCTTCTGCAATCTTAGCAGATTGTCACTGAAGTCCTCTGGAGCACAAACAATGGGATCCTCGTGCATATTGAAGCCTCATAGCTTTGCCGCTGGAATCACAGGATCAATCTCACATCAATCGTGGATGAGTTCATCCTCAAACTTCTTTGGTCTTTGGGCTCCCTCTGGGAGTCTTTGCCTTGCCAGCCACTGCTTTAGAGGTTAGATCCTCGGAGCCATTACCTATTCATTCGTTTGAGGCGCATGGCGCTATCGCCAAGCTTTAAAAAGGATGTTGATTTAAGTCTTTGAAGTGTGTCCAAAGGTCTTGGGACACAGCTTCTGACGCCCGGAACGTGAAAGACCCTACAATCGGGGGTGCGGGGTGTAACGGGAACCATTTTGGCCGCGCAGCCGAAACCAGGGCGGAAGGGAACCAAAACAGAAACCGGAGCCAAAATCTCAGAGCCCGAATCTCGCAAAGTGGGGGACCGAAAGCCGGTCCCCCTCCAGGACAACTTTTTTGCAACTTGCCTGTACCTCGTTCTACTCCTTCTTCTGCTCGTACTACCTTACTACCACTAGTACTACTTCCACACTCCTTTTTGCAACTTGCCTGTTCCTCATCCTAGTCATTTTTCTACTCGTACTGCCACTAGTACAACTTCTACACTCCTTCTCCTCTAAATCCTGAACCTAAACTCTGAAACCCTAGAAGCCTAAACTCCGAGCCAAACCTTTAGATCTTCACCCTCCAAGGGTCAAGGTTTAAGGTTTAGGGTTTCGTCATAGGGATAACAGAGGTTGTTATATATGTTTTTTAGGGGTTATAAGTACACTTACTCGGCCCCCCCGACCTTCCAAGTAGAGCAGAATCGCGAGCCCCCGGCCCAAGTAGGGACTACACGATTTGTTGGTCCCCGTTTTATAGAATTACAACTTCTAAACCCAAAAAGTTGGATCCGAAAACCCTAAACCTTAAACCCTCAACTCAAGAAGTCCCAGCTGAAGCCACAGACGCCTTTGTCTCATGTCTGCCCTTGCTTCAGAAGGAGAATTGGAGGCTGAGAATTTCCACGTTTGCACTTCCAAGATTGGTAGGAAGCCAGCATGCCCCCAAAAACTGCATCTAGAAGGGGAACCGAAAATCGGTCACCCTTTGGCAGAGTCCGAAGAAGAATGCTTTTGCCCGTCTGAACAAATGTGTGGGCTTCTCGAAGCCTCCACTGTTACGGACAATCGGTTCCTGTTACTTCAAATCCTCCTACAATCGGGGGTGTGGTGGTCGAGGTCTTGGGCCATGGTACTGGAAACTGCAAAAGAAGGAACCATTAACACTAGCAGCACTAGTAATCCTAGTAGTATCAGTAGTACGTATAGTACTAGTACTGCTAGTAGTTCTAGTAATACTAGTATAGCACTAGTACTACTAGTAGTACTAGCACGACTAGTACTACTAGTTACTAGTTCAAGTACGGGTGCACGCACGAGGAAGACTGCCCATGCACATATCGGATTTCGGCCAAGCTGATTGCGTTTTCGCGAACATGATTTGAGCAGGAAGTGTCTAAGTGCTGGATGGTGCCATGAAGTAGAATGAATCAGTTCCAAGTTGCTCGTGTTGATGAGACTGTGCACGCCCGTCTTGGCCTCCTTGACATAGCAAAATCTGTGGAGGCACATTCAGAAATACTTACCCATCGTGCGGATGTGCTACATAGCGTGCAAGGATGCGGAAGGCTAGCCCGTCTCGCTCATCCACGACTTGCGGCCTCACCTTTGAAAACAAGCACTGTTGACAATTGTGGTCATTCCCTTGGTGCTGATGAACTCTTGTAGTAAAGAAGAATGTTCATCCGAATGTTCCGTACAACGAAGAGCGACGATCAGCCGAGATACGGTGCCATCCAAGTGCACGATGGCTGGGCACAGTTCCTTTAAAGCTGGCGTTGCCTCATAACCTCAGCTCGCAACAGGAAAGTCTTGAAGGCAAAGTCAGCCGGGGGCCCTGCACATCGTCATGTGCCGCCCGGCATCAAGATCCTGTCAAGGATGAGGCCAGGAGCTAGGGCGAGTCAGGAATTCCAAGTGGTGCAGGATCACCAGAACGATCAACCTTTACATGATTGGACCGTGATCTTTGCTTAAGCCTGAAGCCTAGACTGCCACGCTGCTCAACTGCTCTGAGACTGCTCTGAGCATTGTAGCACGTGCCGTCCTCAGCGGGAAAATCCACATATGCTAGTCTTGTGCAGCTTCTCAACGTCATAGGCGCAAATGGCATGAATTCGGTACGTTCCAATCGCAGGTTCCTCGGAAAGAATGCTCGGGTGAGACTGTTATGCTGCCTTTGGGCTCAGAAGCAGCAATGGTTGAAAATTATGCGATAAGGATTCAGCCTCGAGTTAATAGCAGGATCTGTTGCGCACGCCAGCAGAGAGCGATGTCCGAGAGCGCGAGGTCCAAATTCCATGGCACCATGAAAAAGCCCCACGACCTGTCACTTCACAAACAGCGCATGACTTCCGGAGACTTACAAAAGAGCAGCGCAAGAGTTCAAGCCTTCCCATTCGCAAGGTAAGCTGCCACTTCCTCTGCAAAACAATCCAAATCATCAACTTCCACGCCCCCTCAGTCAAAGCACTGATCAATTACGAACGAATCTGCCAAACATGCAGCACTGCGTGAACCAATGCCAAGAAGCCAGAAGCTGACAAGAAGTGTCCAACAACTTTGCCAAGCCTTGAAGCACAGAAATTAAGCACGATTGAACTTGAACTTTCAGACAGCCAGAATCAACCAGATGCCTGAATTGAATTTCAACTTCCAGAATTGGACGGTAAGACGAAAAGCACTCAACGCTGCAGAACTGTTCAAGACGTAGGGAGATATTTGCTTGTTGACATCTTGCCCTGATGTCCGTGCAAGCACATTCGACAACAACAAGAACAAGACTGACAACATGTCAAACAACGGAAGGAAAGTCAAAGTACATGCGCTGTGATAGTCAACATGCTTTAGCAGCAGAGAAGAATTTCAGCCAGGCATCTCAGCAGCTGAGAAGTCCGGCCCGACAAACACGCTGCCTCTCCTAAATTGTTAGCGGCTGTGTCACAGTCAATACAGGCTGCTGCGGAGTGCAAGGTCACGGGCAGGGGAAGTAGTGATGATGCTGGAATGTGTGAAGACGTGCAAGTGCAAGCCAAGCATCGGGCAGGAGACTTGCAATCCTGCTTCGGCTGCAGCCAACGCTGCAGCTCCAAAGCAAAGCCCTCCGTCGCCCATGTTGGGATACACAAACACCTAGGAAGCACAGCCATTCTCACGAAAAGCTCTGCCATCAGCAACAACGAAAAAGGCGCCTGCTTCACCTCTGGAAAGCGCTGTCGCAGACGCATGTTCAGCCGCACATTAGCGAAAACGCCACCAGAAACACAGATATACGGCTTCACGAACTTGTTCAAGTCCAAGTAATCAAGAAGCAGGCCCTCTGTAAACGACTGCAAACCTGCCGCCACATCCTCTGGCCTGTGCTGCTGCAGCTCTTGGTACAAAGCGAAAGTGTGAAGACCTCGCTTCTCACGTGCGCTGCCCTCCAGACCGGCCAGAAACAGCAAGAAGTTTTTTGTATCTTCCTCATGCCAGGCAGCTCTGATCCTCCATAAACCTTCAGATTTGTGTAGTCCCATGACGTTCTCGAAGATGGCTTGGGTTTTCGTACGGTCCCCGTGGGCAGCTAGTCCTGCAAAAGCAGTACTAAACATGAAAGCAGAATCCAAACATTTCGTAACAGCGTTTTGCGCGCCAGTTGCGACACGGGTGACTCTTATGCCTTTTGAGTCATTCAGGGTTTGCTACTGCAAGGATCTCCATTGTGATACGCAAGAGACTTGGGACATGCAGGTATGGCATGACTACGCAGCTGTTCGCAACAGGCCAGGTCCTGTAACCTTGCCCTCATGACGAAAAGCCTTGAAACCCAACGCAGCTGTAACAAACGCCCAGAGCATGCCAAGGCTGTCAAACATTGAGGTCACGTCGATTGCCACCGGCTTCTCATCAAACTTGATGATCTTGCCAGAAGCGCAGTCCCCGCGACCATCCAGAGTTATACAGCAGCAATCACGGCTGTTAGCTGTGGGCCAAACTGGAGACCCGAAGAAAGAACAGGCTGCATGGCACGAGTGGTGATCATACATTCGGAGGGTCTCAGAGATTCCCATGGTCTGCAAGCCAGCTCGAAGCCTTGATTCCACGTTAGCATCCACTGCACGGAATCGGTCTGCTATCTCATGCATGTGCTTTTGCACTGCAATCGGCTCCTCAGCGATCCTCGCTGCCAAAGGCTCATCACCACCAAAGAGCCACCCATGCGCCACAATACTAATCTCTTCTGGAGCAATTCCACCCGCACGCAAACAGAAATTGATCGACTGCTTTGGGAAACAACCGTCGTGCTTCCGACGACTGAATCGCTCCTCGTTGGCAGCACATATCAACTCGCCTTCTCTCAGCAGACAGGCACCAGAATCATGCGGTCCGGACGTTATACCAAGGATCCAAGCCATTTTTACACCAAACCATGCCGTGGTGGAGCTGCAAATGGCTACGGTGCACCACGTTCCAAGCGTGATCCAGGTAAGTTCCCATGTTGCACCAACACGACAAGAACCGCCGTGCCTCCAGCAAAATGTTTTGAGGCTTGATATCCCTGTGAACCTGTCTTGCCAGACTACGCAAGTCTGACGTCGAGCCCAGTCTGACTAAGTGAAAAACCTGAAGCAGAAGATACAGGACAAAAGGCGGAAGAGTTGCACGAGGTCAAGCAGCGGTGTTCAACAGGAAAGCTGGCACCAACATCTCGCTCGGGCCACGCAGAGTTTGGGCTGCAGTGGAAAGAATGCAGCCGCCTTTACTGCACATGGGCTTGCAAAGTATCGGACCTTCAGCTGTGCCTGGGAACCCATGAGGTGAGGTACCTCCCTCGCAGCACATCTAGACTGGCATTTCAAAAAAAGGAGTTCTGCTTTCACTCGTAGCTCCCTCCTAAAATGGACGCATGAAGCGGCAAAAAGGCATTGCGGCATTGCACTAGCACTGCTGTCCAAGCGAGCCGGCGTACAATAGGAGGTGCAAAGCTGGCCAGGTGGACGCATACCTGAAGCAAGTTCATAGGCAAAGGATGCCCCTGACACTCCAACCAACTTGTGTGCTGAGGAATGTGCGGCTTCCAACGGCAGTGCTTGACACATTTCAGTCTAGCTTGAGTCTGCTTTGGCAAAGTGTTCAAGGCTCACCAAAAAAAAACACAACAGATCAATCAGCAGATAAGGCTTTCTTACCATGATGACGTCCCTCGTCTATCTCAAGCGCTCTATAGCGCTCTAGGCTGTCGCTGCACGTGCAAACGGAAGCATTTAAATGTCACGAAGCCAACTGCAGATTGCAGTCTGCCAGTTAACCTGCTTCACGGCGTAAATGCCCCCCGTCCCGCTGTCGCACATCCAAAAGAGTCTCTGCCAGCATGCGTATGTTTTCGACGGTGGCAACCTGGCAGATGCTAATCGGAACTTAAAACAACTTGCCTGGCACGCCTTCTTGAGTTGAAATGTCCTCAGCATCTTTCCGTTAGTCCCTCCCCAACTGCATGATCATGCAACCCTTCAGCAAACCTTTCGACATCAGCGACATGCTTAACTACGCTTGAACACGATCAGCCACACGGTAAAGCTCACCTTGCTGAGGCTCCTCCTTATCCTTCAAATGCCCTAGGGGCCCTGCCCATTGCCCGCTGCGAAGCTGTTCTTCCAAGGTCTTTCCGTTGACAACGTTGGAAACCAAGCCTTGGACACGGGGCAAATCCTCAAATCCACGCATAGCAGCCGAGCTTTTGATTGGAGTCTGGCAGATGATTGTTTCAGATTCTCATTGCAATAACGAGAATGGCAATATCTGTTGTTGCTATATTTGGGGAATTCTGCTGGCACTGCGCTTGGGAAGCAGTAGAAGGCGTAGCGGGGGGCGGCGGCAAATCATGACGACGACAATGGTGAACCCTACACAACCCCAAACCTTTTACCCTAACAAGCAGCTCCAGAGCCTAAACGAGATCCGTGCGCTGAATCCAAACAACCCCAAACCCTAAACACAGAACAACCAACTGAACCCAAAACTCCTAAAAGCACAAGTCCTCGGCCAACCAACCCCAAACCAACCAACCCCTAAACCCAAAACAACAATACCCTAAACAGTCTCAAGCATCCAACCCTAGACCGCCCAAAGACATACAGAGCCCCAAACCCTAACCGCCAAGCCCCAGACCCTAGCCCAAACCCGGATCTGGCAACCCATGCACCTGCTCTCGAAACATGCTGAGGCTCAGGGCCCCTACGTACGTTTTACTTTCGGAAAACATTGGCAAACTACAAACCACTTGCCCATTGGCGCAGCATTGCCAAACCACAATGGACAATGTTCTCCCTGTCTTGCTTGCCTGTGCTGAGTGTCCAGTCAACTCGGTGAGGCTTCCGCAGATCATTGAGCAACCGGACGAAGCGGAAAGAAGCATCCAAATGTTCATGAAGGAGATGGCAGATGCTAGGTTCTTTCTGTTGTGTCAGGCTACGTTGACTCGAGATTGGGAAGTCGTGCATGCTGCTTAGAGGCTTCCATCGCAAGCGCGACCTGTGTTAACTCCTACCTTCTTATGCTGTCAAGCCGCCGAAGTCTTGACCATCCGGACGGTCTCTTACCACGCTGCCAAAGTACGAGGGAACTGCTGGATGCTGCAACCTGCACAGTCTTCATGTTGCTCAAGATTATTTCAGTCTTGGAAGCCGCTTCTTCCACGGAAGCATTGCGCTGCTGGCCTCTGCAGGACCGAGGCTTCGCGCTCGAACTTGTCCAACGTTGCCCACCCTTCCTGCGAAACACAGCAGCATGCTAAGCTTGCTAAGCTGGCATTCTCCACAGCCAGCTTCAAGACTGTCAGAGCCTCCAGCCTGACCAGCTTTAGCGCCACCTCCTGTCCCTGCGACAGATTGGGCACCTGACGTCAGACATCCACCCACCGTGGTGTTGCCCACAGCTACCCAAGGGTCGATCTGCCTGGCATTGTTCCGTGACACTGGCCTTAACGGGGCAAAAGGCTTTCAGCTTGCCTAGTCACTAGTCCACGATCTCACAACAGCTGCAATTGAGTGCTACCAATTCTGGGAAGTCAGGCCCTCCATGTCGTGCCAAAGGAGCCAGCACCCAATTTCTCCTGGAGGAATGCCGTATGCAACTGCATGACCAAAATTGAGACAACCTGGAACTTTGGCGAGCAATGGCTCCTCCAGTCGCAGCCCCTCCACCTGTGACAGGCGAAGATGGGAGATCTCTGCATGCTAAAGGCGTGCGTGGGTTCTCTCTTGAGCTGCCTGATTTGGCCGTGGGTAAGTGTGAGACTCAAAAACAACGTCTTAAGCGTCAAAGAAAACACATGCCCTGGCATCAAAAAGACATTCTACAAGCAGCGAAACCAGTGCGTACTACAGCCTTAGGGCATGAGGAGGGAAACAGCGATCAAAACATATCAAAACCAGAGATTGTCGGCTGCGGATTACTGAATCGTAAGACCGGTAGACAGAGCGAGTCATTCTCAGAGTTGCAATAACTGTAATTGTAGTAGCAGTATCAATACTTGCACTTTTTTAGAAACAGTACTGTACTACTAGCACTAACGGGAATCGTACCTGTGCCATTGCTACGTAGCAACGGTCATGGCAATTCTGATAATCATGGGAGTCATTAACAACTATGAGAATAGCAGAAGCAATCTTGACCGCAAAAGTAATAGCAATTGGTAACAACAGTCTGGAACAGGTAAGAGCGACTCTAAAAATGATAGCACTAGCTAGCAGAGGATTTTCATCCGATTTTCGGCCTAATTTCGTAGCGGGGCTTCCGGTCATAGATGGGTGTTGCTGTGGTAGATGTTTCAGTGGGCATGTGCAAAATCACCAGCCAGCGCAGTGCTTTGTGACTTCTCGAAGCTCATGCGTGGCAGAGAACTGCGTGCAACCGCGCATCGAAAAAGGACGGCCGGAGTTCTGATTTGTCAGGTTTTTGCATGACATGTGACAACTAGAAGCTAAGTCGGAGCAGCTAGGCAAATGTGCATGCATCTTTGCACACGTTCCCCACCACAAAACTGTCGCAGGAGAGATGCTCGTTTTCACAGCCAGTGCAGCGTTTTTGCTTGTTGGGAACGCTCGTAGTGCACGAATGGAGGAACACTTGTTGTGCTCGTCCGTGGTGGCCCAAATTTGAGAAATCAGGGCTTTGACAGTCTTTGAAGGTGAAACATATCCCTTCACGCGTTCTTCGCAAGCATACAGCAGCACGTGCCCAACCCCAGGCTGAATTCCTCGGCGGGCCGAATTGTGGTTGCATAAGTGACTCAAACCCTCGACGTCAGCAAACACGCTAATGATGGTGCGGAAATCGAGGCGCAGCAATGTGTAGGAAAACGGAGCACTTTAGTGGACGTGTCTGCTGGGCAAATTAAGCAAAACACAAAGGCAAGACAATTGGATCCAAAGTCTGATCCAAGCGAGTGCTGTGCACATGCCCATACAGTTCAAGCCATCTTTTGGGTTGTTTCCGCTGATATTCCAAAAGCCTCGCGGCGCGCCAAGTCTTTCAAGAAGCTAGCAGGTAGACAGCGTCGTTCATGGAGTTGTGAATTTCAAGCCATGTACGGACTGAGTCAGCGCCTGGGAATTCATTAGCGATTTATTTGTGATTAGGTTTGTCACTCGCATTGCGATCTGTGCGCGATTTGTTGTAGAACGATCTGTTTGGGGTTGTTCGGGCTTGAAGCAATTGAGGAAATCGCGGAAGCTTGGAGGAAAGCTAGCGGAAAATTGCGGGGGGCCATTAAGGAAATTTGCGGAAATCTTGTGGATATCCCTATGCTGCAGAATGGAACTCCAAAAGAAGCTCATCAGCGTTGCTTATTGTGTCTTTCGATGGGGAACACAGTGAGTTACCCCTTGCGACGCTGTCGAAGCCTTCTCAACTTTGAGCGTAAAACCGGAGGATTTCTCGACAAGAGTCACGCACACGGAGCAGGGCGGGTCTTTGCTTTGTCTCCGCTACTGGGTGGTGAGGGTGGAAGGTTGCGCAAAGATGTGTGTCTTGAGCCAAAATGGTCACGACCGTCAAACTTCGCATCTAGACATCCACATAGTACTATCGCACAAGCAATGCATATCCCTATGCTGCACAACGGAATTCCAAAAGGAACTCATCA